TTGTTGTTATATCCCCCTTTTCATTTCTGATTTTGTTAATTAGCATGCTCTCTCTCTGCCTTTTGGTTAGTTTGGCTAGAGGTTTGTCTATCTTATTGATCTTCTCAAAGAACCAACTCTTTGTTTCTTTGATTCTTTGGACTATTTTCCTAGTTTCTACTTTGTTGATTTCAGTTCTCAGGTTGATTATTTCCTGGCATCTACTCCTCCTTGGTGTGTTTGTTTCTTTTTGCTCTAAAGCTTTCAGTTGTTCTGTCAATTCTCTAATGTGACTTTCCTCCAGTTTCTTCATGTGGGCACTTAGTGCTATGAACTTCCCTCTTAGCACTGCTTTCAGAGTGCCCCAAAAGTTTGGGTATGTTTTGTCTATATACTCATTAAATTCTAGGAAGTCTTTAATTTCTTTTTTTTTTATTTCTTCCTCAACCCAGGAATGGTGCAATTGGTGTTATTCATTTTCCAGGGGAATGTAGGTTTTCTGCAATTTGTATTCCTGTTGAATTCTAGCTTTAATGCATGGTGGTCTGATAATACAGGGGGTTATTTCAATTCTTTTGTAACTGTGGAGGTTTGCTTTGCTGCCAACTATGTAGTCAATTTTTGGGAAGGTTCCATGTGGCGCTGAGAAGAAGGTATATTCTTTTGTGTTTGGATAGAATGTTCTATAGATGTCTATTAAACCCAGTTGGGTCATAACTTCTGTCAGATCCTTTGTTTCTTTGTTAAGTTTCTGTCTGGTGGTCCTATCTAGTGGTGTAAGGGGGTGTGGAGGTCTCCTACTATAAGTGTGTGTGGCTTTATGTGTGGCTTGAGCTTTAGTAATGTTTCTTTTACAAATGTGGGTGCTTTCCTATTAGGGGCATAGATATTCAGGATTTAGACTTAATCTTGATGGACTTTTCCTGTGATGAGTATGAAATTCCCTTCTTCATCTCTTTTGATTGCTTTTAGATAATTAAAAATTAAAATTAAATAATAATTAAATTAAATAATAATAATTAATAATTAAATTAAATAATAATTAAAATTAGTCTAATTTTTTAGATATTAGGATTGCTACACCAGCTTGTTTCTTGA